CTTTTTTTTTTTTTTTGTCTTCTTTTCTTCCTGGCCTTTTTATATATTGAGAAGGAGACGGCAGATAGATCACCAAATTCCCAGCGGACTTTGAAGACCCTGTGCTTAGATCTGATCATGGCTTGCCCATGACCCCTGTGCCCTTTCCGCCGATGCAACCTGTTTCTGAAGGCCTCGGCTGAGACGTGTGGGAAAAGCACCACACGCGTTGGATGAACAAGGTTTAACAAAAGATGCCATTTGGGGTCCAGGAGAGCTGGTGACAGGGCCACGCACCGGTACAGGCAGAAGGTTCCATTTCATTTCCCGGAGAAGCGGTCCCTGGTTGCCTAGGCCGGGGGCTGAAGCCTAGCTTTCCGTGCTGGGTGGCATTTCCCCAGGGGCAACGTGGATTGGCTCTGGGCCGCGCTCAAGAAGTCAGAAGGGTGGGCAGAGGGTGGGTGGGGAACTGAGCACTGGTTTCTCTCAGAAGCAAACAGGGAGGGGCCTTTATGAGCCATAAGTTGGGACTTCATACCTGCTTTTGGCTCATTGGTGAGAACAGGCTGAGTGATGCCCCCACTCTGACTTTGAGAGGCGCGCCACGAAGGGCAGGACCCGAAGTCCACAGAGGACCGAAGCATGACTCGAAGCATCTAGAGAGGAGAGCTGAGCTGGGGGCACCCTATACAGCAGCATCCCACAACTCCACGACTCCACTGGTTGGCCACAGACACGTGGGAAATGCCCCTTTTTGACCCTGGGACCACACGACAGAAGGGGGATGACAGAGAGGCAGGGGCAGCACCAGAGAACCCCACTGGAAGTGGGGTTGCATGTAGTTTTATTTATTTATTGGTAAAAAAATATTAATAGCAATTAAGAAACACAAAACATTCACAACCCATCACAGAGTCCTGTACGTGTCGGCCATTTATTCCCAATGGAATCCTTCATCTGACGGAGGCCGTGATTTCAGCCGAAAGGCCCCTTCATGTTTTTCATGGGCGGGTACTGCTGCTCCATCGGCATGGCCCCAAAGCAGTCAGAGGGGTTACAGTGGCCAGCCTTGCCTGGCTGGCCCATGGGACCCGGAGGGCCAGGGATGCCCGGAATGCCTTGCTGGCCCATGGGTCCGGTCGCGCCCATCTTACCATACCCTGGAGGGCCTTGAGGACCTAGGGAGGGAAGAGTCAGAGAGGGGAGGTCAGGAGACCCAGGCGACAAAGAAGAAATCATGGTCACGGTACCTAACACCTTACGTTTGATAAATATTTGTCAGGCTGTAACAGGTTTTCACGGACACCTGATCTGATCCTTCCGTTAATTTAACAGTAACAACATTACTGGCTGGTTTTATTGGGAGCTTCCACGTGCCAGGCACCAGGCGAGTGCTTCTGATGCATAATTCGATGAATCTTCACGACCATTCCGTGAGAAAGAAACGATTACCTCATTTTGTAGATGAGGACACAGGCTCAGAGAGATTGCACACTTGGGAGTTCGAGTGTTCAGGGAGGCCGGGTCTCAGAGCCAGGCCGTCGGGCTTTGGTCACTTCTCTTTTAGGCTATGCAGCCTGACTTAGCGACCTTCTCAAGGTTCGACAGCCAGCGTGGCGCCGAGCAGGACATGAACTCTCATTCGCTGGCCCCACCATATCTGGCTGTCTTCCCCTGTGTCCTGCTAGCCCAGTTTAGGACCTGGGGACGGGCCCTGGGCCTCCTGCTCCCCTCCCCCCCGCCCCCGGCACACACTGGCATTACCATGATAGACCTGTAGTTATTTGAGGTTCTACACAACTATATTGTGCTGTAGAAGGAACATAAGGAAAGCAGATACCAGCTGCTTGAGATTCATGCTCTCAGATTCTGGCTCTTCCTACCTGGGGGGCCGGGGAGACCATTTTCGCCAGCCATGCCAATACCAATGTCCCCCTTTTCACCTTTGGTACCGGGCAATCCTGAGACAAAAGGAATAAAATGAGTCCTATTCCTGAGCGGAGAAATGACACCCCAGTGGGATTATTTGAAACACACACACACACACACACACACAAATATCATATTCGCAATGGACCTCATGCAATGCTCTTGTCTGCCCCAAAGAGTCACATGTGCACCTCGGGGGCACCGGAGGGCAGAGCTACCTCTCATTCCTGGCACACCCTGGCGTCCTTCTCTGCCGATCTGACCAGGAAGTCCTGGTGATCCCGGAGCACCTGGCCGGCCCGGAGCCCCATCCTTTCCTGGGGGTCCTGGTCGTCCCGGAGCGGCGGCCATCTCCATGGGGAACTGCATCCGGGAGGTGTAATAAGCCATCCTCTCTGTAAGAAAGCACAGGGACAGGTCCCAGGGTGTCCCAGGGACTCAGACGGATGCAGACGGGCCACCAGCATGGAGTCCAAAGCCGCCTTTCTTCAAAGGGCAGTCAGAGCAAGGAACACACCTCCCGTGCCCTCGCCTTCACTATCCTTTGCACGGTGGTCTTTCGACAGCACAGACCTGATCAGGGCCTCCCTCTTCTCCAACACCCTCATTAGTCTACCGCTGGCTTCACAAGAAGGTCCGGACTCCTTGCTTTGCATTCAAGGTCTGCTTCCCAAGCAAGATGGCTAGCACCATCAGGACAGGGGCCACGTTCTCCCCAGGCCCTAGCACGGCCATGCCGGATGAACAAGTGCACGGGAAAAAAGCTTAGAAGCGAAACCACACCAGCTAGCCTATGGCTGCTGCTTGCCCCTCTATTTAGAGCTCGCTTCATGCAGACTCGTTTGATTTCAGCTTTCCTGTCTGTCTCCTCTGCTGCAGTGGGGGCTCGGGGAGGGCAGGGAGATTCATTGTATCTCAGGGCAGAGCAGGTGATAAGGAAGGTCTGAAGTCTGATTGAACATATGCCTGTAAGTGGGCGAGGAGGGGTCTGGGGCGGAGGATTGGGCTCTAAAGGAAAAGGAGGCCAAGGCAGGGCAGAGAAACAGTGGGGAAAAGCCAGCAGCACCCACCGCCGCCCAGCCAGCTGCCAATTACCATCAAACATTTTAATGATCTCTTGTCTGATGAACCTCTTGATTTCATCATAATTCACCATGTCTCCCTGAGGAAAAAAAAAAAAAAGAAAAGAAAAGAAAACCTGCCTCAATTATCCTTCCAAGCCTGATACTCTCCCCCTGGGAATAGACTTTGTGGAAAGAAAGCTTCTAGGAGCGTCCCACAGGTACTTAATCCAAGGTCCTAACCCCCCCACCCGCCCCGAATTGGTGCATAACATTTTGTGGATCAGTGCATTTTCCTGGGGAGAGGGTTCCCACGCCTCCCAGCTCTCCCAAGCAAGGTTAAGAACCACCTATGTGGGAGTCATGCTCTTTCCCTCGGGGGCTTCTACAATGGTCTCTGCTCCACCCTGGATGCCTGCTCTGTGCGGCGGGGCCCCTGGCTGCCAGCCGTTCCCCTTACCATGGAGCCAGGCACCCCGGGCAATCCAGGGCTCCCCGCAGGCCCCGGAGATCCAGGGTGGCCTCTCTCTCCTGCAGGACCCGGTGGCCCAACGGGCCCCATGGAGCCACTCTTGCCGGGCCCACCAGGCATGCCAGCTCTTCCCTTCTCTCCTGCCTGGCCCTTCTGTCCTGAAGGTCCCGGATCACCCTACAAGGACAGGAAGCCATAACCAGCATTGCCAAGGACTGTCAAGTCCACCTCTTTTTATGTCTCAGCAATCAGCCTCTCTCTCTGTCTCTCACCCTCTCTCTCTCTCCCCATCCCCCCAACCGGCCCCTGGCATCTTCTTCTGACTGTGATCACAGCATCCTACAAGCTTGCCTGGCCTCACAGCTCCCAGAGCAGTCCGGGTCCTTCGAAAAGACAGTTCTTCATGCTGTTACTCCGTGTTTAGAAATTCTGATGCCTCCCAGCTGCCCTCAGGCTAAAGAGTTGATTCCTTGGCCAGGCACTCAAGATCATTCATGATGTGGTTCCCATCACCTCTTTTCCAGGTTCATCTCCCTGCCCTCGAACCTACAGCCATGCCTCACTGCTTATGTCTCTGCTTCAGCCACGCTGTCTTAGCCTTCCTTGCGTGGAATGCCCTCTCCCTCCTTCTACCCGGCTCACTCCTCCTGCTCAGCTGAAATGTTCCTGTCCTATGCACAGCCTCCCTGACTCCCCGGGCTGACTTGGGTGCTATGTCTAATCTTATGTAAAGCTTGCCATGCCCTAGCATAAGTGTGGCTGGACGAAGTGAGTGGCTACTGTTCAGAGACCTCTGTTTAGCCAAAGCTGGGACAGAGGACCTGGAACATGAGAGGGAGCAGGTGCCAGCAGCATGAATGAGTCAATCAACTGATCAATGAGTGAATGAACTTGAGATTTCCACCCTCCCAATCGTAGCTAAGAAATAGGCCCCCGTGAGAAACTTTCAGAGATGAGGTTGCTGCAAATTCTGAGTTCTGCTCACTTTTTTCTTCCTGCCCACTGGCCTTCCTGCATCTCCTCTCCATGGCTAAAGTCATAGCTTGGAGCTGGCCTTAATCACTCGTGAGTTCTTCATCTCAAAACCAGCCAGTGCCCACTCACCTTTGGACCGGGGGGTCCATAAAGTCCCTGTTTTCCAGGGGGTCCCTAGAGAAAAGCAAAAGTCAGGGGTCAAATCTAGGCAGCATCTCTGAGCCGTCCTGGGGAGGCAGGTGTCATGAAAGGACCATCTGCCACAACCCTAGGGCCCGGGCTGTGTCCAGCTGAGCTCTGGGTGAGGAAGGGTGACAGCCTCCCTTCTGTTGGCTGACAGCTAGAAGGTAGAATGATGTCCCCTAGGGCATCATCGTGTTGGTTGGGTCCCTTGTCACAGACAAAAAGAGGTGAGAAGTCAGAATGAAAGGGCCAGCGCATGGCATATTGGAAGGCGTTCAGGGAGTGATTACTGAGCGAAGGAAGCAGGGTGGGGGCAAGGTGAGGGGCAAGCAGCAGCATCCCCAAGGGAAGGAGAAACCCAACACAACAGTACCTCTTTGCCAGCTGCACCGTCCGCACCAGGCTCACCCTGTGGAGTAGAGAGTGGTAAAAAGCCATCAGCACCACCCCAGCATGGCATCTGGCTGCCCTTACCCGCTACGCATGCCCAGCCCCTGTGCCACGAAGGAACCATGATCCTCTAGCCCTCACCCTCAGCCGCTCTGGACACAGGCCATGGAAACTTAGAACCCCACCCCACACTCCAGCCTGTCCTGGAGCCCCACGCTGGCAGCCTGGGCCGCCTCCCTGACTGCGCTATGCAAGGGACAAGCAGACTGCGCCTGCCTGGCTCCTGGCTTGAGGTCCCAGAATCTCGCGGGATCCCTAGCTGTGAGTTTCTGTTACACGTTTGCCAAACAAAGGCGGTAATTGTGAACCTCTGTCCTCAGTGAGGTCCCGGAGACAGGCCAGGGTGGCCTGAGCCTGCTCCCTCCCCAGGATAGGACAGGCCACACACCCTGGGCCCAGCCTGCTTCTGGTATGATTGTGGGGAAGAGGAATCTGGGATTGCAAGGCAACTGGCAGATTCAGCTAGGGACCCTGGAGGCTCCTGAGCCTACAGGCAGGGAGGGACAGAGGTTTGGAGGGACCCGCCTGCCCCGGGGCCCTGGCGAGAATCCGAGTGAGTAGGTGAGACTCGACCCTCTTGGCGGATGCACCAACCATCACCCCTGCACGGGCAGGAGTCGTCCACCCCATTGAGGCCACCAGCTCCAGGGTCATGGCCACTGCTCCCAGAAGAAAATCCCCCGACCCGGGGGCTAGGAGACCTGAGCTCCTGCCTCAATTTCCCCAGGAGAGTTCATCCCTGAGACTGGCAATCCATCCACCTGATGTGGGTCAACTGTCTGGAACCTTGGAAAGAGGGAGTATTGTAGAGTGGCTAAGGACGATGCAAGTTCAGGAATCCGGCAGGCTTTTCCACTCGCTAGCTATGTGACGGTGGGCAACCTATTTAACCTTGCTGAGCTTTGCTTTTCTCATCTGTAAAATGGGAACAATCAGACCTACTAAACGGGATTGCGGTACGGATTAAATGACCAAATGTCAAGCACTTGGCTCACCATTCAGTGCATTGTCGGTGACCAACATGTCATAGGTCTTAGTACTAAACACTAGCTGAGACCAAGGACCGGTTTGTGAGTTGCCGAGAGGGCTGTGATAACGGCTCTGCATTTCTGGCTCCTGACATGCACAGATTCTCTGTGGTTACCGGAGAGCTCCCCCAGGGAGGGGGCAGGGCAGGGGCAGAACAGGCGCCAAGTCTCCCCGGCCTGACCCCTAGGGTGGTGCACGGTCAGAGGCAGCGGCCTGGGGTGCGCTTGGCAAGCGCTGGCTTGCAGAACTTGTCCTTTCTTCCGGATGTGATATGATCTCGTCGGGCTGCCATCTTCCCTGCTAACTGCCTCTCCTCCCCTGGAGACCCCAGATGCGTGGGGCTGTGCTCGACTGACAAAGCCAAATGTCCCTTTCCCTCAGGGCTGTGCAGTAAGATGTGGGGTCTTACCGGGGGGCCAGGGTGTCCGGGGGTCCCAGGCTGGCCTGGAAGGCCTAGCATCCCCCTTTCTCCAGGGGCTCCCCGGTCTCCTTTTAGGCCCTGGAAGAGAAGGGAGGTGGGTGGTGAGAGGGGACGGGAGAGACGGCAGTGAACCCCACAGAGCAGAGAGGCAGGCGTGATTGTATGCCAGGGACCATGCACCCACCCCCCCAGGCCCTGTGGGGCAGGGTGGCGTGGCCTGAACCTGAGGCCGGGGCCTGTGATGGCCTCCAGCCCTCTCCAAAGGCCTTTACTGAATGCCATCTGGGGAGACCCAGGAGGTGGGAGAGGCTGAAGGCAGGGAAGGAGGGGGACAGGCACAAATTGTTCTCACCACCCCCCTCTGTGAAAGAAGCCCCAGCCAGAGTCCTGGGAAGGAGGGAGGGACGAGGGGAGTAGATCACTCACCACTGCAGAGATCCCAGCTGGGCCCGGCTGGCCTGGAGGTCCCGGTGGCCCCTAAAGAAACATTAGGACAGCGGGATGGAAAGAGTCTCTGATAATAAGGCCCCCCCAGGAGGCAGCGAGGGACCAAAGGCAGGAACAGGCCCAGAACTTCAGCAACTCCATCCCTCTTCCCTCAACCCTCCTTCCCTTCCGGTCTTGCACTTGAGCTTCTCCCAAAAAACTTGTGCCAGAGCTGACACCCGGGGTGGGGTGGGGGGGGGG